TTCGGAGTTAACTCCGCCTCGTCCGCAGTCCAGCCCAAACCACATGCAGGGCACGGCGCCACCTGTGGCCGACGACTGCTGCGCGCAGCCATATCGGAGTCGACTCACGGTTGGAGTGGAGGGAGTCGGCTGCGCTGGGAGTGGGCTGCGTCTCACGCCGACAGACGACGAGCCGGGTGTCGCCGCAGGCACAGGTGCGGACCGCGCAGCGGCGATCGATGTGCACGGCGGCAGGGCCGCCTGTCGATTCGGCCTCACACCTGGCTCGGCTCCTCGCGACCTCGGACAAGCCCCTCGTCCGCTCCGACCCGCTCTGACTCGCTCTGACCCGCTCCGACCCGCTCTGACCCGCTCCGCCTCGCTTCGACCCGCTCTGGCCCGCTCCGACCCGCTCCGAACAGCTCCGCTTCGCTTCGACGCGTCTCCAGGGGCTGACTGAGCTCCTCGAGTGGTGAGCGCGGCTCGAGCGCTGGCGGCCGGTAGTGCGCGGGACCCGATGTCTTGCGCTGCACGCCGGACAGACCACTGGTCACGCACGCCGAGGTCCCGCCGGTGCGGCCGCGCTATCGGCCAGCGCGCCGTCCTGCTGAGGGCGACGCCAGCGGCGTCTCGGCAGGCCGGCTGGGCGGCTCCTGTTCCGGCGCGACCTCCGCGCGGCTGGTGGTCCGCGTCGGCCGCGCCGCGCCGCGCCGGCGTGGTGGGGTGGGACGGGCGCCCGCCCGCTCCCCACGCCCCTGCCCAACCTCTTGAACGTATATCAGAGGAGCATCGGTGTCCGGTCGGTCAGCGATGTACACAGTTAGGTCAAGTGGCAGGGTCACCGGCAGATAAGCGACAGTGTGAACACACAGTTGTCACTCAACAGGCTGATGGACACAGGCAGAGCGACTGCTGAAATCTGATAAGGCGTGGAGAGCACGAAAAAACGGCTTAAAATGGGAGTGGTTGGTGGCAGCGAAGGCAGGCAAAACCATGTGAACCAAATTGTGGCGCAGGACGTTAAATGCGGGCCTTACTGTCCGTTCCCTTGCTGCCATCAGCTGGTCAAAGGCTCATGACAGATCGCCGATTTCCCTATTCCTCTTCCGCATGGAGAATTATCCGCGAAAGCAGCGTTTGGTGATGAGGTTCTTTCATTGTTTATATATTTCGTTACAGGTTAATTTCCGTCGTCGCTAAAAAAAAAAACATCCGGCAGGCAACGCAAAAACAGCTCGCCCGCCGAGGCGCTGCAGTCGTTGCCACCCCGCATATCTCTGTGAACATGTCATCCCAGTAAATAAATTTTTCAGTGTCTAGGAATCAAAATCAGTCACTTGTTGTGCCAATACATAACTATGCACACAATACTTAAAGTCAATATATAAATTAATCCACAGCTACATTCGGTAACCGCAAGACGTATGGGATGCTGTACCGTTTGCTGGTTCCATGAAGTCAAGTGCAGCATGGAGTGGTCGTTCACGTCTTTAGTTCTCCACCGCAACAAAATCTTTACTGTCGGTCTTTCCCAGTGTTTTAATGAAACCACGCACGCATGCACCACTGCACGATGCTGCTGCACGACCCTGCTTAACCAATGCACGAAACTGCTGAATAACACCGATTATTCTAATAAGTCTCTCGCTCGCTGGTGAAGAATGCTGGGGAATGGTGGTGAGGCACAGCCGCCAGAACCAGGTTTTGTGAATGAAAAATATGTCAAATGCATTTCGACGAAGCTGGTATGGCCGCTGCCACACCTGTCACAGCTGCCGCCCTGCATTCTCCACCGAAGCCCATAAACGGACATCGAATAATCGAAGACAGCGGACGTCACCGCCGCCCGGTGACGAGTCAGCAGCGCAGCAGTTCTCATAAAGGTGCGTGCGGTCACCTCTCGCGAGGCAGGGGCGGATGTCTCCGTGTGATGCTCGCCGCTGTGTCATCAGGGAGGTCATCTGGAGGCGTCAGTGCGAGCTATCTTCATGACGCTCTACTTATCGGCCTGGGAGTGTTGTCATTAGAGCTTTAAGGGCACTCAGCGAGTGACGCTTTACGACTTCACCTGCCCTCACCATGACAGGAAGGGACACCGCGGGGGGCGGGCTCCGCACCCCTGGCTGCACGGACTGGAAAGCATGAGAATTCACCTTCTCGCAGCTAGGTGGGAGGTTCAGCAACGTCACCCAGGCTCGGGCGGAACCAGGTGTATGCCTTTGGCTATACACATACGTTCTCTATACCTACGTATGCACTGTCCTGGCAGATCGTTGTTATTGCCGGCATGAGGCATAGCGAGTGGAGGTTTTCACAGTTAGGACTCTATGCAACATACCTGCTACTCTTCGTGTCTTATCCATATCCGCCCCAATGCCCTTTTCCTATCAGCTCAACCCATGTTTCTCCGTTTGAAACTGCCTTTATCATGTTGGTGTGCCTTATGTAGAAATAAAGGAATATGATCAACAGTATTCCATGAGAGTCCTCCGTCCATCTATATGCCCGGCACTTCTTAAAGTCCCTGCCCAGGCTCCATTTCCCGGCCATACCTTTCCCAGAGTATCCACCGCAGCTAACCGATGCCTGTTTTGTGGCGGGCGGCTACGCGCTTACCCAGTCCACGAGGCCTGTGGCGTCCAGTGACACGTCAAAACATCGCACGCCCGTTAGACCGCTGCCCTTCCCGCTGTCCTGACGGGCACGTGGGTCACGGCTATCACACTGCTATCACGCGGACATTTGCCTAATGTCATTTGTGACGATGTGACGGTCACTAGAGCCATCTGTGACAGGTGACAGCCACAGGTGAGAATTGTGAAGCGTGTTCCTGAACTGCTCTCGGCTCCCCAGCACGTGGCCGAGTGGTGTCTGCCTCAACCTGAGCTGTTCCGTGATTCACTGATCCTACAGATGATGTCACAGATGATTAGATGATCTTACAGATGATGATCAGCCAGATGATCTTAGATTCTTGCCCAGACGCAGACCGCGGTGGACTTTATATTGCGATGAACAAGAAATATTTGAGCACAACACATGCTAAAACATGTCAGTGCAAACTGAAAGCGTAACCAAGCAATAGCATAACAAAACATAACATAGATATCCGACAACGAGGCAGCAATGCAGGCGAATAAACTGTCTTTGCAGCATTCCGCACATGACAACTACAAGCACGCCATCACAAATAGCAGTCCATGTCTCTAGACAGGCACAGCCAGCAGGCTTTTTCCTGTCCCCACTCATTGCAGTCGAGAATACATAAGACGCATCACTGGTCACACGAAATACGAAGGGCACGGTTGCTGCGGTTATCGAATTCGCGAGGGAACTGTGTCCATTTTTGTCACAGCAGTGATTGGAGGCGCGTGGGTCTGTGTGGGGCTACTTCAACTGTAATGTCCGTGATGATGAAATGTATTTGATGCAATGTAGTTTGGAAAGTAAGAGGCATTCGCATTGCATTATCTTGCACCATCTTAGTTGAAGCAGACTCTTGACTGGAAGTCTTTCAAGACGCCTGTTAGAAGATATTGTCAGTCATCCTTTCCCTTCAGAATGAAGAAAACGGCTGCGTCCTTTCACTGTCATCACCTCCCCAATCCAAGACAAGCATCTGCTGTTTCGAAGAATCCTACACAGAGAGGGATCTTCAACACCCACTGCTATGGACAGAATAGTTACATTCCTACGGCGGAGCTGAACAGATGGTGCTCGCAAAGTTGACCTCGACAACGCATCGTCAACTCTTTGACGCGAATGTTCGGTTCACCGCTTCCCTTTCTGGTGATGCTCGTCATCGCTTCCCTTTCTGGTGATGCTCGTCATCACCTGCCCTTTCTGGTGATGCTCGTCATCGCTTGCCCTCATACCGCACGGGCATCGTCTAATTTGCCTCTTCGAACTTGCCGTCGTCACCGTACTCCTCCTCTAAAGAAGGCACATGAGCAGAATCACTGTGATAAATGTCAGCTAGGGCAGTGTGGGGCTGCCCTGACACCAGTAAGGCTCGTTGGACTGCCCTGACACCAGCAAGGCTTGTTGGGCTGCCCTGACACCAGCAAGGCTCGTTGGGCTGCCCTGACACCAGCAAGGCTCGTTGGGCTGCCCTGACACCAGCAAGGCTCGTTGGACTGCCCTGACACCAGCAATGCTTGTTGGGCTGCCCTGACACCAGCAAGGCTCGTTGGGCTGCCCGGACACCAGCAAGGCTTGTTGGGCTGCCCGGACACCAGCAAGGCTCGTTGGGCTGCCCTGACACCAGCAAGGCTCGTTGGACTGCCCGGACATTAGCAAGGCTCGTTGGGCTGCCCTGACACCAGCAAGGCTCGTTGGACTGCCCGAACACCAGCAAGGCTTGTTGGGCTGTCCGGACACCAGCAAGGCTCGTTGGGCTGCCCTGACACCAGCAAGGCTCGTTGGACTGCCCGGACATTAGCAAGGCTCATTGGGCTGCCCGGACATTAGCAAGGCTCATTGGGCTGCCCGGACATCAATAAGGCTGATATCTCAGCAAGGCCGTTGTCCGGGCAGCCGGCCTATTGATATGGCCACTTCGTAAGAAGCGAGGGACGCGGTACGCATATTGTCGCACGACGGCACTAACGCGACACTTTTCTGACAAATAATGGTTGTAAGACTCACAGCCAGCCTTTGACAAAAATCTGAGCTCGGCACGGCACCTTAAACCCGGACCCCATACATGTGTTGGGCAGGCTAGGCGGCCAGGTGGCGCTTAGTTGCGCCCCCCCCCCCCCCCCCCCCCATCCCATCCCATCCCATCCCATCCCATCCCATCCCATCCCATCCCATCCCATCCCATCCCATCCCATCCCATCCCATCCCATCCCATCCCATCCCATCCCATCCCATCCCCACTCCCCATCCCATCCTCACGACGGCCATTAGACCTCACGACCCCCACCTACCCCCGTCTGGGAGCCGCACAATGCAGCGCGTCCGTGTGTGACGGATCAGAGCTCAGCACCGCACTGGGCTCACCGCTCTCGGAGTAGACGTCAGTCGCCAGCTCCCACGTAGCGCTGGTGATAATACTCGAACACGACGAACATCATGATGATGAGGGTGATGCCCACCACGGGGTACACCACGTGTTGTACCTGAGACATCAGGCGAGACGGCACCACGTATATCTGCGGACAGACATAAATAGCAATGGACTAATTTAGCATGCAACTGTATATTAGCTATGGTACATTGCTGAGGCGAATGTGGGTGCAGCTAAGACCAAACGAGAACGTAACTAGAACGCGGGCGAGATACGGCGATGAACGCTCACCATAAAGTCGTCGTAGAAGGTGTTGTAGGAGCTGTGTTCCACCACCTGCAGGCGGAAGTGGTAGAGTCCGGTGCCCGTCATCAAGATACGGATGCGCTGGGGGTCCACCAGCTGCCGGTCGCGAGCCGACGTGTTCCGGCTGTATATGAGGGTCAGGTCGGCGTCCAGCAGCACTAGCCGGACGGCGCTCGGGTCAGGTCAGGTCAGGTCAGATCAGATCAAGTCACCGACAGGGCACTAACACAGTACAAGGCAGCACAAGCAGCACAAGTGACAGCATCAGCGTGCGCTACCACACCCCGCCAATGCAGTACGAACAGCCCAATGCATGGTCACACGGAATTAGACCGCGCTGCCGGAAAAGACGTGTGTGGGAGCGCGTGCCTTCTGATGACGTAGACGGAGACAGCTAGGGATGTCTTCCCATAGCGCTACAAATCATCTTCAGTCGTTTTGACGGGACTGGGTAGGCCGTGTTTAGTCCCGCACATGAGAACCAGTTCACACGTGTCGGGGAGGATCCAGCGAGGGGAGGGGGTTTCGGTATGGCCGCTCACGCCGGGCGGGCTGTGCCGTGCCCTCATCGTCGGTGGCCGACCCCCTGGTGTCGTGCCCCCATCCCGCTCGCTGCACGCCTCGTGGGCCGGCGCCGAGCCGGCGCCGAGCGTGCGTGCGTGCGTGCGGTGCGTGCGTACGTGCGTACGTACGTGCAAGCGTACGTACGTGCAAGCGTGCGTACGTGCAAGCGTGCGTACGTGCAAGCGGCGCGTGCAAGCGCGCGTGCAAGCGTGCGTGCAAGCGTGCGTGCGTGCGTTTACGATGGCCGAGCCGCGAGGGGACACGACGCGGCAGTCGCTGGGTCCGCGCCAGCGCCTGCACGGCCAACAGAGGGCGGCGGGCGGCGCGTGACACCCCACGGCGGCGCAGGCAGCACGACCAGGCCAGTACGACAGCGACAGCACGCTGGTTGAGTGCCGTTCCCGGCCGGCTCCCGGCCGGTGCAGTCACAACCCATCCCGCCAGTTTGACGATGCGACGCAAAGCCTCAGAGCCACTCGGAGCACCACACCGCTAGCGCGTGGTGTCTCCGCCGGTTTTCTCCGCAGGTCTAGCCGACCCGCCACGGTCCACGTAGTTGCAGCAGTTGCCGTGCCGCACGGCGGCCGGCCGCCTCGTGCGCCGGTCGGCCGCCCCGTCGGCCCGACCGGCACACTGCCACCCGTTATGCTTGCGTGCATACGGCGTGCGTGTGTGCGGGCGCGGGCGTGCGTGTGTCTGCGTATGCGCTTGTGTGTTGTGGTCCGCTGGTTTCAGTGCACATTCCACAATTTTTACTTTCCGAGACTGGTGGGAAGCGAAGATCAAGTACACAAACCATTATGCAGATCTTGATGACTTGGCTCGTTATAACCTGGCGGTCAAGCACTAGTAGGCACAAGACGGAGAGTGGAGGCTCTATGGCCGGCTCGGCCGCTACTTGAAAGTATTTCACCATAACCTAGATCTCACAACGCCCATGGAATAAATTTGGAAGCTGCTCCAAGATGACGCAGCATCGGCCGTGCCCATGGCTGCACGTTTCTGTCGATGTTTTCATCGATCCGTGCAACGGGATATCAAGCACGGACCAAAACGAGATGGAACACGCTCGGGCCGAACCCGCACTTCACCTGGTCGAGCGTGACACACTGACAAGTGTCACAGTGTCACGCGACACGGCACCTTGACACCCGTCCAGCGGGAATCATCACCGTCGGTCCACTGGTGACTGGCCCGGAAACCCAGCTTGAAGCACCGGCGGCCGTGCCGCGGCACAGTGGTTAACATCTTTCGGCGCAAACCGCTCTTTGGACTGGAAACTGCCCTACTGGACTGGTGAAGTCAGGGTCCTCACAGCTATGCTTCGAAATGACTCGATTCCAAGGTACGGTGACACTATATTATACAAATGTAGCCGAATTGCCATGACGGGATTAGGGAAAAAGAGTCTAAATTGACACACGGTAGCATAGGCCACAAATACTTCTCGACACATAAAAATCTGCCTTCTGGTCACACCAGCAAAGTGAAAACATAGCTACACAAAACAGAGCCACCGCAATTATCCGCTTGAACTCCAGCAGAGATGCATCTTATTTTGTTGCCGTTGTTTTTACCGGGTTTACAGATACCGTCGTAAGAAAAACCGCCCGTACGGTTATAACCACGTGACGCGACACGTAACCGTGTGGGTAGCACTGCTGAGCATGGTTGGGTGGACCAAGTCTCTTTACACGCGACCCCGCCCGGAGCGCTGCTCACCATGGTTTCGCCAGGAGGAGCGGTTGTTGAGTTCCGTGATGGTCACGTACATGGGTGCCAGGAGCGGTCGGACCGGCCCGTTCCGCTCGCGTATACTCATCGTCAGACGCAGCTTGGCCGGCCACGAGATCTGCGGCACCTGGCGACGATACTGGCACTGACACGGCTGACACCGCCCGGTCCTATACAGCAGCGGCACCTGGCGACGACACTGGCACTGACACGGCTGACACCGCCCGGTGGGGTAGAGCATTGACACTGACGGCTGTCGCCGCTCGATCCTATACAGCACTGGACACTGACGGCTGTCACCGCTCGGTCCGATACAGCAGCGGCACCTGACGACGACACTGACATTGACACGGCTGACACCACTCGGTTCGATACAGCAGCGGCCTGACAAGGCTGACACCGCTTGGTCCGACATAGCAGCGGCACCTGACAACACTGACACTGACACAGCTGGCACCGCTCGGTCCAACACATTCACGGACGGAATAGGACGGCTAGCGTAGGTCGAGACAATCATGGTGATAATTTTAGGTGGCGCATGTCGCGACCCACTACAATGTGAAGCAGTCATACACTCATGCAACACACCGGTGGGTCTTCGCAACTCTTAGGGAAACGCTTCCTACCGATACTTGCCCCAGCAGGTATTGAATTGCCCCAGCAGGTATTGAAAGCAAGGGTTCGGACGGCTTACATCTATTCTCTTCCCCTCTCCGGTTATTATTATGGACTTTCACTTCTGGCGCAGGCCAAACTGGCGGTCGGGTCCACACATGAAGCTGTTCCTCCAAAGGCTACGGGACCGTGGCGTTTAATCGTACTCACAGCATGGAGAAAAAGCTTGCGCGGACTTCTACTAAAAGGAAAGTCTCGCAGCCACTGGTGAAAACACAGAAGTCCCTTCCCCGACACTGCAACCTACCGCCACCCCCACACGACGCCAACACGTTACTAGCAACCCAGAACTGGTTCAAACACGTCCCCAGCGTTCTTAAGCCGCCGCGCACTGCAGCAAATCCCAGCGGGGTCAGCCAATCAGAGGCGCCGTGACTGGCACATGACCCCGCCACAGACGGGCCACAGCGCACGGTCCGACAGGGAACACGGCCCCGTCACACCGTGTCTGAGAGCCCAGCTGACCGGTCTGACGGCAGCTCCCGCGGCCCGCTGCCGCCGGCGCCCGGCCCAGAGGCCGCCGCCCACCACAGAGCGGTCCGAGTTCTCAGAGGACGGCCGGCCCAGAGGCCGCCGCCCCACACGAGCGGTCAGAGTCTCAGCAGATCGGCCGGCCACGAGGCCACCGCCACCACAGAGCGGTCCGAGTCTCAGAGGCCCGGCCGGCCCAGAGGCCACCGCCACCACTCAGAGCGGTCCGCAGTCTCAGCAGAGCGGCCGGCCCAGAGGCCACCGCACCACAGAGCGGTCCGAGTCTCGCAGAGCGGCCGGCCCAGAGGCCGCCGCCACACAGAGCGTTCCGAGTCTCAGAGGACGGCCGGCCCAGAGGCCGCCGCCACCACAGGGCGGTCCGAGTATCAGCAGATCGGCCGGCCCAGAGGCCACCGCCACCACAGAGCGGTCCGAGTCTCAGAGGACCCGGCCGGCCCAGAGGCCGCCCGCCACCACAGAGCGGTCAGAGTTCTCAGCAGATCGGCCGGCCCAGAGGCCACCGCCACCACAGAGCGGTCCGAGTCTCAGAGGGACCGGCCGGGCCCAGAGGCCACCGCCACCACAGAGCGGTCCGAGTCTCAGCAGAGCGGCCGGCCCAGAGGCCACCGCCACCACAGAGCGGTCCGAGTCTCAGCAGAGCGGCCGGCCCAGAGGCCGCCGCCACCACAGAGCGGTCAGAGTCTCAGCAGATCGGCCGGCCCAGAGGCCACCGCCACCACAGAGCGGTCCGAGGTCTCAGAGGACCGGCCGGCCCAGAGGCTGCCGTCACCACAGAGCGGTCCGAGTCTCAGCAGAGCAGGCCGGCCCAGAGGCCGCCGCCACCACAGAGCGGTCCAAGTCTCAGAGGACTGGCCGGCCCAGAGGCTGCCGTCACCACAGAGCGGTCCGAGTCTCAGCAGAGCGGCCGGCCAGAGGCCGCCGCCACCACAGAGCGGTCCAAGTCTCAGAGGACCGGCCGGCCCAGAGGCCGCCGCCACCACAGAGCGGTCCGAGTCTCAGAGGACTGGCCGGCCAGGAGGCCGCCGCCACCACCACTCACGTATCGGCGGCAGTCCGAGTCGCGGACGTCGGTGGAGTACTCGGCGGCCGCGGTGCAGCCGCAGGCCGAGCGCTCGGCCCGCCCGGCGCACGCCTTGTAGCGGCCCGTCCTGCGGCTGACCTCGTGCACGATCAGCAGGGCTGAGAACAGCACGACGCAATCAGTGGGTCTCGGAGGGCGGCGCAGTCGCAGGTCCAGTGCGGGCAGGACACAATCATCGGGTCTGAGGAGGGCGATGCACTCGCAGGTCCAGTGCGGACAGGACGCAATCAGCGGGTCTGAGGAGGGCGATGCACTCGCAGGTCCAGTGCGGACAGGACGCAATCAGCGGGTCTGAGGAGGGCGATGCACTCGCAGGTCCAGTGCGTACAGGACGCAATCAGTGGGTCTCGGAGGGCGATGCACTCGCAGGTCCAGTGCGGACAGGACGCAATCAGCGGGTCTCAGGAGGGCGGCGCAGTCGCAGGTCCAGCGCGGGCAGGACACAATCAGCGGGTCTGAGGAGGGCGATGCACTCGCAGGTCCAGTGCGGACAGGACGCAATCAGCGGGTCTGAGGAGGGCGATGCACTCGCAGGTCCAGTGCGGACAGGACGCAATCAGAGGGTCTGAGGAGGGCGGCGCAGTCGCAGGTCCAGTGCGGGTAGGACACGGTCAGAGGGTCTCAGGAGGGCGGCGCAGTCGCAGGTCCAATGCGAGCAGGACACAATCAGAGGGTCTCGGGAGGGCGGCGCAGTCGCAGACCCAAGGAGGCACACTCAGCAGATCTGAAAACAGGACAGAAACGTGCAGGTCTGAGGGTAGATAATCAGCTCCGGTCTGAGGAGAGCAGGACAGAATAATGCGTCCTTGAGTTACCACATCATGATGTGTAGAATTCTCAAAATGGGCGTGCAAAGACTGCGCGCAAAATCAGCCTAAGACCTACCCTGCTCCATAGGCTGGCTCGGGTCGGCGTTATAAATGTTCTCCGAGGTGGGGATGTTGATCCCCAAGTCTGATGGAGGCCGGTAGTTGACCTGTAACACAGCAGAACGGCGCTCCCTGAGGCGTTCCGGCTCCCAGCCCAGCTCTAAAACCGCGTCCGGGCAGTACGGAGGGTTCGGTCAGACTCTCCTCCCAGAAGTTCAGGAGATAGATGGAGTTCACGAAGCGTTTCGCCACCCCTTTAGACTTTATTCAACCCACTGCGACCCATCCCCAATAAAACAGAATGCCCCGTGGCATATCGTGTCGCCCGTGCATCAAAGGATTCCAAACGACGAACAGCGAGTCGCTTGGTAGCACCGGCATAATCTTAGCGTCAGCTTTGAACACGCCTCTGTGCACCAATTTCAGCACTATGTCGTGATTTTGCGGAAGCATATAGGCAACGAAACACGCTCGTCGAATCACCAGCATGGGCTCCCAGACCTCCATCCCTGACTCCGCAGCGACAGGCCTTCGAGCGGGCCGCGCGCCGCCGCGCGCCGTCGCGCAGCCACTGCATGTATCGATAGAAGCAGCCAAGATCGCCTCATCAACCTGAAAAACACTAGCCCTATCCGGGAATGGAACCCGGCCCCCCGGCGTGGAAGCCCGACTCGGCCCCAGCCGGGCCGCGCGGCGCCGGCGCACCGGCAGTTCGATGAAGCTGCGGTCGCCGGCGTGCAAGCCTCGTAGCACGTCCCGCTCCACCTTGGGGTCGGCGCCCCGGGCCGTGTTGACGGCGATGGAGAGATTGGGGCGAGGGCAGCAGGGCGAAGGTCACCAGCCGGGCCGTGCCCGTGCAGAGGGCGCTGGCGCGCGGCAGCCGGAACGTCAGCGAGCAGACGCCCCTCTGTCGGGGTCACAGGGAGTCACCACTCACCCCTCCGTCGGGGCCACGGAGTTCTAACACATCCCTCCGCCGGGGTAACAGATGTCACAACACGCCACTAGGGCGTGGCTACGGTGTTCACACGACGCCCCTCTGCCGGGGTAACGGCGGTCACAACACGCCCCTCTGTCGGGGTCACGAAGGTCACAATACACCTTCTGCCGGGGCTAATGGTGATAACACGTCTGCTTGCCGAGGTAACCTAGTTTCGGGATCAGCTTTGCATGGACCTTGCGATCTTACGGATCACGAGCGAGCCCTGCTTGAACTAAGACAAATTTAATGTCAGCGGCCCGGTCGAACCCTAAACCTTTTAGAGGCTGACATCCTTGCAATCGTGGATTGTAGGCACATGAAATTTTCCAGAAAGAAGCCCAACTACGTAGCAGTCGCGTCGTATAAATTTTTTTTGGATATTTGTGTGTGCAGGTATTTTACTAGGATAGTTTTCCTGCTACACTTGCAATCTCACTACAATTTCGCATATCCCGTGCCGCTGAAACGAAAAACCCAAATTTCCACACAGCGGAAATGCCGTAAAGCACGGGTCGAAATCAGTTCAAATCTCAACTACCCGGTGTCGTGGAGGCACGAAACAAACATATTTGGCCGCAGAGGAGAAAACGGACATTCGTAATGGCGGAAGTGTTGACGGTGGGGTCTAAGTAGACGGGCAGGCATTTCGTGCTCAAACCATGAACGCTTTGGTTTTAGGACGTGTTATACATATTTATTTCTTTATTTATTTATTTATTTATATAAGTAACGTACATCAAGATGCAGACAAACGAGGCAGTCGCATCCCATTATATATATATATATATATATATATATATATATATATATATATATATATATATCTACATATCTATATATATATATATATCTATATCTATATATCTATATATATATATATATATATAATATATATATATATATATATATCTATATATATATATCTATATCTATATATCTATATATATTAATTAATCTGTCTGTATATATATATATATATATATATATATTAATTAATCACAATTAATCTGTCGCAGAACGGCTTGTATTTTTTTGCCAAAACTGTGTATAGAATAAAACAAAAAACAACACCTGTCCTAGACGCTATCGAGTAATGAGCGATTGGGTTATGAAGATTACACAGCAATGTAGTTCTGCTTATTTTGATCATTATCTACCCCAAAATTTCCCTCTTTTAATTATTTTCAAACAAAGGCAACAATCGCAAACCACTACAAGTTGTCGGTTTTCTTTTTGGCTCTAACGTCCAGGTAGGCTACTTCCGCATGCATCAAATTTTTTAGCAACGCTGCTCGCAATTTTACGCGCGAATATTATATCACCTCGTTAAATCCTCACGAAAGGTGGGCTTTTTAGCGCATTGCTCAGATCACCTGGTATGGCTAGGCGGAGGTGAGACCCCAAACAGGCCTAGCTTTTTGACATCACCTGCATGAGAAACGTCCCGACTCGCGTCCGCCATCACCTTCCTCGTTCCACGACTCACGTCCGTCATTGCCCTTCCTCGTTCCCCCGGCTCACGTGCGCCATCGCCTTCCTCGTTCCCCCAGCTCACGTCCGTCATCGCCTCCCTTGTTCCCCCGACTCACATCTGTCATCGCCTTCCTCGTTCCCCGACTCACGTCCGCCATCGCCCCCTCGTTCCCCCGACTCACGTCCGCCATCGCCCCCTCGTTCCCCCAGCTCACGTTCGTCATCGCCTTCCTTGTTTCTCCAACTCACGTCTGTTCATCGCCTTCCTCGTTCCCCCGACTCACGTCCGTCATTCCCCTCCCTCGCCCCCAACTCACGTCCGTCATCGCCTCCCTCGTTCCCCGACCCACGTCCGTCATCGCCTCCCTCGTTCCCGCCCCGCAAGACCGTCTCTCTGGTCGTTGCGTAACATTTACTAGCGCCGAAACTCGCTGCCACTGGCTGCGGCGAGAGCCCGCCACAAACGCGGCGGCGCGTCCCGCCACCGCCACTGTCCGCCACCACCGGGCGCCGCCCTGCCGCCGGGCCGTCCGCGTCGTACCAGCGTCCAGGACTGCGGCCGCACGGTTGACCGCCAGCCGCAGCGAGCCGCCGCGCACGCTGGCCGACCCGCTCCACCTGCCACGATGTCCGGGTTGCTGAGCTCCAGGTCGATCAGCGGCTCGTACTCGGCCAGCGGCTCGCCCTCGTCTGCCGACGGCCGCCGGCGCCGTCAGCTGGCCCGTCCGGCTCCCGGCCGGTACACTGTTCTGCTCTCGAGCTGTCTCACTGGTCTGTATGATTCATATAAGCCGTTTCTCAGCTGTTCCTTTGTTTGAAGAGCAAGTATAGATAAAAATATAAAAATATGGTAGAGCTATCGCTATGGTAGATAAAAATGCGAAAAATAACCCTTAAAAAATTGTCTTACTGTTCGCACTGTATTTCAAAAAGTAGCTAAGGACGTCGAGATGAATGACGTTACATGCGAGCTGAGATTTTAATGTAACTAGGGGTCAACAGCATGACATGCTCCGGGCCATCACAGAACCCTACGGGTTATGCCAAGACATAATATGACTTCACTCAGCTACGTTCCAGCAGTGAAGCAGACCCTCTCATTCAGAACTACCCTACCATAACGCAGTTATGGACAGCATGCTGTTCAGCCACCGTGTCCTAACAACGGGCGGTTGGAGACGGTGACCGCATCACACGGTAACGTATGCGTATTTATTTCTCCGTGGCGACAATAATGGCATTTGACAGCCCACGTGGTGGCTTTATGAAGCAGGGCTGCATCTGGTTTACAGACGTGCCTGATTCTTTCCATTCGAACCAACCAGCACAGGCGTGGCCGCTGTTACGAACGGCTCGCGGTTCGCGCTGCCTCTCCCACGCGCCACTCACTGTACACCTCGCGCGCCTCCACCTCGACGGTGAGGATGTCGTGCAGATCCAGGTGGATAATGCTGGCGTGTTAAGACGCCGCCGAGCAGCTCCAGCCGGTAGCCGCAGGGGCCTTGTACTGAGAACGGAGAAACAGAACGGAGAACGGAACTGAGAAGGGAGCCGGCGCCACCGCAGTCCGACAGACAGCGCGAGGCACCGCGGTCCGCAGCCGCGTAGTGGCCGCGGTGTGAAGGCAAGGCTGACTGGACCATGACTGGTCTTCACGACTTTGGACCCTCGATGACACAAGAGAAGCAGGTGCACATGTTTATACTGCGAGCGGCAGGCATGCCACCAGCAGCGCTCAGACCACAATGCTATCGTGAGATCGCCGGGCCGCTCTCCGCAGGCCACCTGCTGCCGCACAGTCACTGAGCACGTGAGGCGCGGGAGCGGGCGCACGGCGATTACACCGCCCGGCGCCCCGCCAGAACACGCGGCCGCCCCGCCCATCCGCGGACGTGCTGAACCGCTTCATCATCCGCTTGCGTAGTCAACCGCAGCCGTGCTGCTAGTGGAAACTCTGAATGCGACGAAGTGTCACGCACCTTGTCGGGAAGACCGGACTTGATGTTGAAATAATGCGAGACGAGCTCCGACGAGCCCGGTGCCGAACACGGTGACGCCCCCGGCGCGGTCCATTACCAGGGCTATCTTCTGTAAGCCAAACGCGACCCTTCGATCATATTCGACGGAGGGGCGAAGCGCACGCAACTGCCAGAGAACTGGGATATCAGCAACTGAGAGTAGTATCACAGCAACCGTGAGAAGCGATTCACAATGGAGCGCAGGTGAACTCATCCGACGATTGACACTCAAAAAGACGCTGCAAACGTACACTTACCACCTACGATCGCGCTGATCAAACCTATTCAAACCCAGACCGTCGGTCGGCACTACAGCACAGCAGTCCCACCGTTGTAACTGCTTTCCTCCGCTTGTAGCATGTTAACGCGCAAGTGCGGCATGGCATAGGCACGACGTAACACATCAGTTCCCAGCGACACCACGCCAGGAACGCGTCACCCGTCCGGCTGACCCATCTTTAACAGCAAAACAGCACCGGCGCGTGCCGCAGCGAGACACGGCGCGGGGCGCAGCACCCACCGCCACATCCGTGATGTTCTTGGCGTCGATGACGTCTTTCAGGCTGATCTTGGCCGGCTCGTCTGACTGCCGGCACGCGAGCATCGGCGCGGGTCAACGGACGACGGCCCGTCACTCATGAGAACGCTATACGCCATCTTGTTGGAGGGGCGCGCCCAAGAGCATAATTGGCGGAGGCAAACGCACAGGCCTTACGGTACTTGCCTCGTGTTTCATCAAACGTAGCAAGTGTGTAGCATGCGTGATGTACAGTTCTGCGAGTTCGGGAGACCGCCCTCCCCCTGGCGAAATCCAATATTGTTAGCAATGGTAATTATTCGACGTTAGCGTATCACGGACCACAAACACAGAACAGAACAGCTTAGAGCACCCGGAGATCGCAGCCCTGCTACAGCTGCTCTGTCCAGCACGAAGATCACGACACGCCAAGCTGTCAGGTCAGATGCATTCACGATGTACGTGCTGTGCAGAAGGCCTCAGCCGCACCAGATCCCGCAGTTTACCCTGCACAGGAGTGGCACTGACCCCTAAGCTCATGACGACCAGCTCCAGATCCTTGGTGACACAGATGTGGTGGTGGATGAGGTCGGTGAAACAGTTCTCAACGTGACCAAACGTCACGTTGGTCAGGGTACGTTCGAACGTGGCGCCGCCGTCTATGGAGACGAGGACCTGTCCAACGGTGAGCATGCGTCGTCAGGTACACGCTGGCATGCTTCGACCGAACGCCATGGCACCTTCAACGAAACATCCACGGCTTCAGTTCTCAAAGAACGTTACACAATATGCTCGATCGCACTACAGATCGCACAATACCACCGCACGTACATGTTTCTGAGCGGCTTGACCGCCCAAAGGGAGCTGGGGAGGGGGGGGGGGGGGGGCAGCGCCCCAGGATGCTTGTCCCACACGTGGGTGGGCGAGGGGAGGGGCTGTAGCAACAGAGCTCGGCAGGCAGCTGCTCCCACCTGACCGGCCAGCAGGTACACCTTCTTGGTGAGCGGGCAGAGGTAGACGAACGGCCGGGTCACGTGCTCGCTGGACGGCGGCCGCTTTCGGTAGCCGGTCTTCTCCAGGGGCAGCACCAGCGTCTTGTACTGGTCTCCCTGGCAGGAGAGGTCGCCATCACAGACAGGCACATGGTCTATATGGCAGCAGCAGTGTCTCGAGCTGGTCTTCCGGCAGGAGTGCCCGGGTCTCGTCACAGTCGCGCGAGTCGTCCGACTCGGAGCAGCGTCATGCTGCGTCGCGCCTCGTGGCCTGATGGCTCGTCAGCTGCCCGGGGCGCTGCACGTCCACCAGTCTCCGTCAGCGAGGGTGTGGTGCACCACCTGGCACCAGGGCCATCAGTCGGCTAGCAGACCTCCGGCCGAGCCTCGCAACAGTCCCGCCACGTCCCGGTGTTACCCTCTCCGTCGCCCCGAAACTATATACGATCGTCCGCGGACCCCTACCACCAAAGGTCAGTCATCGTCGTCGTCGGCGGCGGCGGCGGCGGCGACGGCTCACCTGCGCGAAGCCGAGCAACACGGCGTTCCGGTGCCAGACGTAGCGGACGTCGCTGACGGAGGCCAGCCCGGCCGGCCACGGCACCAGCGAGCGCACGTCCTGCCACGCGTCGGTGCGCGCGAACGGCGCACCGCCCCAAGCAGGGTAGCGCTGCTCCGAGTGCAGCAGCAGCAGCACCGAATCCGCTGCGTCCAGGCGGCCAGGCAAGCGGTCAGCACGACCGCCGAGCGGAGATGTGCATTGTCCTTCTGGCCGAGCCAAAATCATCGGGCCCAATGGCAGCACACAGCACTCAGAGATCGCTACCGCAAGGCTTATGCAATGCACTGGTGCGACCGGCAGTCGTAAAGGCTTCCCTCATTCTCTCATGCTTCCCGGTACGGGAAGTCCACGAGACTAGTGCGTGGCTTGCTCAGGCAGCCCGCCACTGACGCTTCTGACCGACAGCTTCGGTCCTCCGCCCACGTCACTTGGGACATCAGCCAAATGCTCCTATCAGAACACTACGCGGGTTTATCCATAGAGGGAGAGCAGCGCCCCGCATCAGGGACCTCGGTATCCTCGCTTACTAACGGCGGCACCGCATATTGCCGTCAGCAGGCAATAACCCGTCATGGCTCGCGAGCCACCCCCCACCACCCGGTGCTCTGCTCAGCGAGAGAGAGTGGCAGGCCGCGCCACCATGAACGCACAGCTGTGACCACAAGAGCACGAGAACACCAACCGTTGGCGTCGTCGTTGACGCAGGACGGGGAGTGGATCAGCTCGTCTTTCGCCCGGTCAGCTGCGGAACTGTTGTTCTGGAAACGCAGGACGCGGCCAGTTCAGAGCTCCCCAGATCAACTGGTGAAGCAGTGACGTCACAGAATGCAGCGCAAACCACAGGTCAGAGCTGCCCAGATCAACTGGTGGCGCAGTGACGTCACAGAATGCAGTGCAAACCACAGGTCAGAGCTACCCAGATCAACTGGTGACGAATTGACGTCACAGAATGCAGCGAACACACAGGTCAGAGCTACCCAGATCAACTGGTGACGCAGTGACGTCACAGAATGCGGCACAAACAACAGGTCAGAGCTACCCAGATCACCCGGTGACGTAAGGACGTCACAGAATGCAGCGCAAGTCACCTGACGGCACCAGCGCATCGGTCACAGGCTAGTGAGCTGTGGACCGCAGGAAACGTCGACGACCAACAGACCAGTCAAGCAGAGCCGGCCCGGGCAGACCAGCCGAGAATCGTTTGACGGCTGCCCGTGACCCAGCCCCCAGCCCGGCCTCCAGGCGCAACATCAGCAAGGGGCGCCTACCCCACCCCAACGTCCTCCCCGACCTGGCACGCAAAATGACGTGCGAGACGCCACTGTAAGGACATCGGTGACGAGCGGTAAGCGGGAAGGCTCTTGCAAGAAAGGCTTTCGGAAAGAAATGTACTTTCTGGAGCTGGGCCTGGGTCGAGTGCGGCGTCTGACAGACGGCATCCGGGGTCCGGAGGCATGGTCACGTGGCGTCAGCAACAGGAGCTCGCGCGGACCCCGCGGGAGGGTCCTACCCCGGAGACATGGTCACGTGGCGTCAGCAACAGGAGCTCGCGCGGACCCGCGGGAGGGTCCTACCCCGGAGACATGGTCACGTGGCGTCAGCAACAGCAGCTCGCGCGGACCCGCGGGAGGGTCCTACCCGTCGCAGCTGGAGCCGGGTAAAGGTGAAGTTGCCCCCGGGGTCGCTGAAGGACGACGTGACGATCACGCCGTCAGAGGTGAGCATCAGCAGGTGCGCCGAGGTCAGCGCCGCACTGGTCAGGCTCAGGTCATGGGGCATGCCTGCCGACGGGACGGGACGGGGCGGAGCGGAGCAGGGTCAGGCTCAGGTCACGGGGCATGCCTGCCGACGGGACGGGGCGGAGCGGAGCAAGGTCAGGCTCAGGTCACGGGACTGCACCGGGCTCAGGTCACCAGGCACGTTGGCTGACGGGACGGGGCGGAGCGGGGCAAGGTCAGGCTCAGGTCACGGGACTGGACCGGGCTCAGGTCAAGGGGCATGTTGGCTGGCAGCCGGGGGGGGGGGGGGGCACGGGCAGATTGTCATTACATGGTGTCAAGCTGAAGCCACGGCACAGGTCGGACCCTGGTCGTATGACGACATCAAGATCAGATCTCAGTCACGGAATTTACTCGCTAGGTCGCAGATAGGATAGGTAGCCGAGATGGTCATGTCGGTGCGCAATAGGGTGAAGCTAATCGGTGCACGCCCCGGGTTATTCCGCGACTCGGCCACTGCGCGGTGACCTAATTCGGCAGATGGTTCCCCGTAACGATGACCTGATTTCGTACGACATCGAAGTGGCCTCCTTGTGCCTCGCGGGCTCAGTCAGACTTTTGGAAACTGGCCGCAGGCTGAGCAGGTACAGCTGACGTGGGAACGTTGGTACAGCGCCAAAAATCGACAGTTTCCTTGTTTTGCATTATGCAAAGGACGGCTCCCAGCTCCAGCCTTAGATGTGGTGGTTGCCACAAAACAGCCATATCCACCGCTCACAGCCGTCGGGGCCCTATCAGTCCGCCTGGTCAGTGTCAGCGGCCGCAGGGGACGCGACCGCGGACCGACGCCAGAAGGCGCGACCACCGCCAGGCGTGGTCCACCCGACCATTCACCAGCCGCGGTCTGCTGACCACTCAGTTACACGCGTTCCACCCCGACCATGGCGGGGCACGGTCCGCTCTCCCCGCCGCCACCCAAAGGCCACCCCGACCGCCGCCAGACACGGGTCACCGCGGCCGCCGCCAGACACGGGTCACCGCTACCGCCGCCAGACGGTCCACCGCGACCACCGCCAGACAGTCCACCGCAGCCGCCGCCAGACAGTCCACCGCGACCAACGCTAGACACGGGTCACCGCGGCCGCCGCCAGACACCGGTCACCCCGACCGCCGTCAGATACGGGTCACTGCGACGGCCACCAGACCCGAACAGCCCCGGACTACCTTCCGAGTCGTTTGAAGGTGGAGCGCAGCTGGTCCATCGCGGTCAGGTCATACCACGTGACCCGATTGCCGATCAGCGTGGCCACGAAGAGGCCCGGCTTGCTGGCGACGTGACGGCGTACAGCAGGCCGAGGTCGCCGCCGCAAGAGTCCTGCAGGTACCGCAGCCGGCCGACGTGTGCACCACCGTCGCGGGGGCGCCACCGGCGGGCCCAGCGACCACAAACCGCCACGGCGCTGTGTCACCGGGGCGGCCGTCACATGAGGCGCCTCACGCCGTCACAGGCGGCGCCCCACGCCAACCACAGGAGGCGCCTGACGCCATCACAGGCGGCGCCTCACGCCGTCACAGGCGGCGCCCCACGCCGTCGCAGGTGGCGGCTTATGCCCGTCACATGAGGCGCCTTATGCCGTCACAGGAGGCCCCTCACGCCGTCACAAGAGGCCCCTCACGCCACCACAGGAGACGCCTGACGCCATCACAGACGGCGCCTCACGCCGTCACAGCGGCGCCCCACGCCACCACAGGAGGCGCCTGACGCCATCACAGACGGCGCCTCACGCCGTCCACAAGCGGCGTCTCACACCGTCACAGGCGGCCGCCTTATGCCGCCACAGGAGGCGCCTGACGCCGTCACAGGGCGGTACCCACGCCATCACGCCGGAGGCGCCTGACGCCATCACAGGAGGCGCCTGACCCGTCACAGTCTGTACCTCACCGCCCGCAGGAGGCGCCTGACCCTGTCACCGGCGGCGTCCTCACAGAGCGTGGTGGCGCGATGTGAAGCGGACAAGTCGAGCAGTGGCGCGACAACAGCCGCCAGCTGACGGCAGCGCTCTGTGAAGCTGCATCAGCGTCACACCCTCCGCGGCCAGGCGATGCTCTCCGCCCAAGAAACGCAAATGCAACCGAGCAAACAGTAAACGAGGCCGCGGTGAAGCACGCGAACCGTGACCACCACTGAGACGGCCCAAGTGGCGTCGGGGCGCGCAGAGTGCTTCTCTCACCGAAGCGGATGTCGGTGATGGAGGCGCTGGTGGAGGGAAGCCGGAGCCGCGGGAGAGGACGAGCTCCAGCGCTCCACTGGGCCATTGCCGTCTACTCGCCGTGCGCCCCGTCAGCTGTCTGCGACACCGGACGCCTGGCATCAGAGCTGCGGCGGCCATTGTCGAGGGGCTAGCGTGTGTCGAAGTGCCATCCAAGCCCAGCCCCGTGCCGCTCCTGGGGGTGCGAGGCTGGGCAGGTTAGCTTCACTCCTATCCGACGTTTTGAGCATCTTAAACTTACGCCGACCTGACATGACCTGACACCCGTCCTCCCGGCTCGCGCAGGCTATCCGTAAATCACAGATCTCTGAAGCACAGAGCGATCCTCCGCGCCAGCTCCATCCCCGTGAGCTCCTCTCCCGGCTCACCTCACGAGCCCAGCTCTCCCTTCAGAGGAACTCCCCGTCCCGGCCCACGTGTGTGCCTCCCCCCCCCCCCTCCCCCGCCCACGCTCGCACCTCCCAGCAGGACCCCTCGGCCATCACCGGTGTCGCGGCTCTCTCCGTGCTGGCGCGACTGGCCGCACCTCCTCCGGAAGTGGCAGCGCCAGGCCACGAACGAGCCGCGCCGGTACAGCCCCATGGAGAACGGCATTTGGACGACGCGGTGCATGCTGCGCAGCGTCATGTGCGGCAGTCGCGCCCAGCAGCCAGAAGTGCTCCACCAGCTGAGAGTTGACCGAGTCGTCCAGGCCGCGGACGGGAGTCACCTGGGCCAGCAGCGTCTGCCCGGGTCGGCGCCGCGGTCAGCCGGGCGACAGCGGAGCGTGCGGCGACACGGGGGCGCGAGGCCAGAGCGTCTGAGGTTCAGCATAGTGATGTGCTCTTCACAATGACCATGGTGGAAGCTAGAGATGAAGATGGTCAGTAATGCTTCATTCTAGTCATCTGATTCTCAGTCAGGCGGTGAAGGCAATTCAGTGAAGGTGTTCGAAGGAGCAGAGAGATTGGGTATGCAAACCAATGTCATGGCAGAGAAGCAATGACAACCATAGTGTTAATTAGGTATAATGATCAGGTGGTTAGGAAAGGCACCTGGTCAACACCATATTTTTGGGAAACTGGGTAGCCTTTTGGACAAATCACAACAAATAACACACACTGTCAAATTCAGCCTCATTGGGCAGTCCAGTTTCACTGGGCAAGTGATGAAGTGCCCTGGCCCATGGCACTTGAATACATATCTCAACCATGTTTATGTTAAGTCAAAATAATATATTTTGCTGTTATTAGCTACAGAAACAATCCTTGTATGCAACTGTAGCATGCACGGTTCCCAAACATTGTATGTGCTTACAACATTCTCATCCATGATGACATATTTGTTTGTTCTTGGCAGAGGTGACATGTCCATGTCCTTCAAGGAGAAGATGGTGAACTCTGCCAAAGCATGTGCATAAACATTAGCTTTGTACTTTGTGACTGTGTGCTTATAATCATTTTAGTTTGAAGGGTAATGTGATATAATCTTGTTTTCTGCGCAATTTTGTGCTGCATTCTACAGGCAGGGATGGTTCTATCATGACAGCAGAATATTAATTACAAAGCATGTCATCTGCAAAAGTAGCAAAATATTGGTTATGAGGACATCTAATCTCTCCTAACATAATGTCCCAATGACCTGTAGCACACAATCAAAATGCTGCTTGGCAAGGTTTTCATGAAGCAGAAAGAGCCTCACTGTATTTTCCATATTTGATACAGGACACATTTGAGTAAGATGACAGGATCATCCAAATCAGAAATCCTGCATGATGTGCCATGTTCTGCAGTCCAGTTGGCTTGCTGGTCCTGTAAACAAAAGAGCATTAAACCACATGACGGAGTACCCTGCACCCTGATGTGTGGCAGTTTTGGGCACACCAACCATGATTATTTTGCACCCAGTCCCCAAATATAACCTGAAATATTGTCATGTGCAATGGACAAGTTAGCTCTTTGCTTGAACCTCAGGCCAAACACAAAGGTGCAAAACAGGCGGTCTTAACTTGACGTTATATTACTGTTAAATAACCGCAACCCCAGCATGCCATCCAGCCCCATCATAAATAAAATGTGATTTCAAACAGATACTTCACCAAGCAGTAATTTGACACCCCCGTATCGTCAAACACAGTCTTCAGATGAAAACTCCCAAGGCACAACGGTACTCCACGACTGTAGCTAAATGTCGGGTTTTGAGCCCGACGAAGGTAAAAAAGAAATCAACATTGAAATGCACCGCGCCCATTTGTAGCAGCCCCTCCAGAAATGTGCCCAGCCGTTCCGTTCAGCAGCGAAAGTTCCCGTTCGTCACCTGGCTGTGAGCTTAATGCGGGTTTTGACTGGGACAGGCGTATTAAGCGACTTGGCGCTTGTTCGGACCTCCATCAACTAAATGATTTGGTAAGTCTTCTCCGTGGGAGGAACCGTCCCAGAGCGTTCCAGCAATGCGGCCTTCTCATGTTGATGGTGGTTCAATGGATGAGATATGTATGATTTATGGGTGTAATAATACCAATGATTTACATCCCAGCATTTCAGAAAATGTAGCTTAGCTCTTTGCACTGCAAAGGGAAACTGCATAAAAGTGTCGCTTGCATCCCGAGGTAAGTAATTTTCCTTGCTGGCGCTATAAGGCAGATGTTGGATACTCAATCAACATGCCGACGTTGGCCCGGCAGATGCTCGCACATGCCGACGTCCAGCAGACATACGCACCGGGCCGACGTCGGTCCGCTGTCAAACCCACGTACCCTCACACTTCAGCCGACGTCCACCCGCTCTCCCGCCGACGCACCTCTGCCCTCCAGCCGACGTTCACCCGCTCTCCGCCGACGCACCTCTGCACTCCAGCCGACATTCACCCGCCCTCCAGCCGACGTTCACCCGCTCTCCAGCTGACACACCTCCGCCCTCCAGGCCGACGTTCACCCGCTCTCCAGCCGAACGTCACCCGCTCTCCCGCCGACGCACCTCTGCCCTCCAGCCGACGTTCACCCGCTCTCCGTCGACGCACCTCTGCCCTCCAGCCGACGTTCACCCGCTCTCCGCCGACGCACCTCTGCCCTCCAGTCGACGTTCACCCGCTCTCCGTCGACGCACCTCCGCCCTCCAGTCGACGTTCACCCGCTCTCCGCCGACGCACCTCCGCCCTCCAGCCGACGTTCACCCGCTCTCCGCCGATGCACCTCTGCCTTCCAGTCGTCGTTCACCCTGTCTCCAGTTGACACGCTTCCGCCCTCCAGCCGATGTTCGCCCGCTCTCCAGCCGAAGCTCGTAATCTTTCACCCGACGTTCGCTTGCTATCCGTCCTTGGAGATTTATTCAGCGATTTATTCAGCGACGAACTTCGACTTATCTGAAAACATGTCAGATGTTTTTTGTTACGGCACGGTGACATCGAAAATAAATACTTAAGTTTTGTCATACATAATTTTGCTATATGGTGTAGCCTTCAGGGTCAAGGGCAGGGTCAAATGACGGGTAACAGTATATCACCAAAAATTACTGGCCGATGTCAGCTTTCCAAAATTCAGAACGTTAACCATGGGAGAACCTAGCGTCCGCCAAAAAATCCTGATCTCTCGAGGTTACCCTTCGTGATAAAACTAAAGATCAAATGATGGGGAAGTCCACATCACCAAAAAAAATTCTGGCCGATTTCAACATTCCAATGTCAAATGATTGCAACGCCAGATCCACTTCCAGGCGCAGCGCAGAACAAGACGCGCGGAACCAAGATCTGCCGGATGCTGACGCCGTACATCTAGGGGTAACGCCACCTGCGTGTTATTGTCTCTCAAGCTGGCATCGGCTGACGCTCCGACCAGAGCCACCTGCTGATAGCCGTGCAGAATGAGGCTTTCCTTTGCTCGTGACCATAACACGATATCTGCCGCCGACTGCACCGCGAATATTTTCATGTTCGTCCGTGGAACAGGCCGTTCAGGCCAGCGGTCCCACGCACCGGGAAAGTTTGGTGCCCGTCGTCATCGCGTGTACTCTGCGGATCGGTGCTCCGCGACCAGTCGCAGCGCTGAGTTGTGATGCGAGACCAATAGGATGCCCCCCTCCCCCCCTGTTTGGAGGTATGCTTGATTGAAGCACACAAGTAGCTGGGTTCTGTTGTGCAGCGCGGTCCAGTTACGAGCACCTTGAATCACAATGTATGCAAAATCCCGAACAGAGCCTGAGATCGCGTGCCTTATGTGACGTCGGCAGACGGTGGCGAGCGCACTCCTCAGCACCGCTTTGCTCTGCACCAGTTTCTGCCTCCGGTCGTACCGTCCCGTGTGTTTATGTGTGTGTGCGTGCCTGTTTGTGTGCCAGCCGGCAGCTCTGTGTAGCCCAGCCTGTGTTGTGCCCTGGTGGTGACTGGCCCTTGTGTCGTCCTGGGCGCCCGAGTTGCGACGGTCCCGCTTCGGTCACGTGACGGAATGGACGGCCAGTGGAGGGTTTGGATTTTCCAAAATTATGGCTCTGTGGCACGGTGCGGACAGTGTGGATAGCCTGGAGAGGCGAAGTCCCGGAAGGCCGGGTAAAATGAAGATAAAATGGGGCAAGTATGCTTAAGCCTTTTAGGTCAACAGTTTTTCAGCATTGGCTATGGGAGGCAATTACCAAAACATTCACATTCCCATCTCGTTACGACAAGTTCGTCGAATATCTGAAGATTAGTCATGATCACAACAAGCGTTTAAACAAATAAGCGTCACCGGAAAACGTTAAACTCAGCCAACCAGCCTTTAACACCACTGCAAAACGTTAGGTGGGTGATCATCTATCCGGTTCTATGACAAAAAGTCGGAAATTCCATTTGGCGAATGTTTTTTGTCGAATGTTGAATAGCGAATACGGAATGGCGACGTAAAAAGTCGACACTGAGAAAAGTCGAAATGGCTAAATGGTAAACTGTAAAGTGGCGACATTGAAAAAGTCGACGTGCCAAGTTGGCGAACGGCTAAATGGCGAGCTGCAAGATAGCAGCTCAGCGAAACATTGATTTGTTATGTTGGCGAACGGCAGAATGGCGGAATACAAAAGAGCCATGTTTGAATTTGGCCCTGGTGAATGGTGATTTAAAAAATGTGGACATATCAAAATGCTGGGTGGGTGGCTGGGTATTGTGTGCCGTGCATTTATTATTTTATTCGAAAGTCTGCCTATTAGGAGAGCACTGCTCTGTTGGTGATGCAAGACAATTAAATATAAAGAAATGAATAAGCATCAAGACAAGTAGGCCCTCCAATCAAGGAGGCGCTTACGGATGGTGGCCGTCAGCTTTACCCTTAGCTAATGGCTCCTACGGCAGAAAGAAAGTAACGGGACCGTTTTTCGGCAGCGAGTTGTACTGGGCAAGACCGTCAAAAACGGTCAAATATGGACAGGGACATATTTTCGTAACATATGTTGTGGGGGACCGCGGCAGATTATGAAACCTACCACCAAAATTTGACAACCGGGTTCTCCCCGGATCTAGTTTATTTTTCTCCCAAGGCTGGGACGGGGTTTGCGCCCCACACCTTAAAAGGAAATTAAACGCCTGTAAATAAAGTATCGTTCCATGTCACCATCTGCAGCCTTCGCGCCTTTTATGTAACCTAGGTGGTATATTTTTCCAAATGCTTGTCGTTTTTTCCATGACGCCATTTGGCTTTTGTCATTTTGGCCTGCCGCCATTTTCCCGTCCCATCATGTATTCAAATGAGGTATTTAAAAGGACTGCTCCACATTTGAAGGGGGTTTTCAACTGAGATAGCCCTTTCATGTCTACGATCGTGACGTGCAACTGCCTACTCATGCCCTTCTCAAGACTTGAAATCCCCTCGTTTCTGAGCTACGAGTACGCGAACTTGTGCAAACTATTTGCCGCCACCCATTTCGAGATCATCTTCATATGATGTCATAGAAACTCCACACAAATTCCGCCTCCTCCATGGCCACATAGTGTTCAAGGTCAAGAAAAGTGTTGCCATCGACTTTTTTGTGTCTGAAGTACGTCAGCGTGGATCGTTGCATCAAAGAACAGCGGCTAGCTTTCAACCAGCTGGAAGCGTTTAATGCAAGTTTTGAACACAAGTCATGTTTTGTAACACAACATCTAGGCATTTGGCACCTGCTATAAAGATCGGACAGGAATTGCCCTTTCCATGCAGCCTTGAAGAACCTCGTGTTTTCGTTGTTTCTACTTGAGCTTGCCGTTTTTCATGTCATTTGATTTTCGCCGTTTTAGTAAGTCGTCATTTTGTCTTGTCACCATTTGATCAAACATGACTCGTAAGTAGTTCAACGATATTCAAGCGATCGCCAATTTCGCACATTTTGTCACCCTTTTGCAATTCGTCATTTAGCCGTTCGTCATTTCAGCATGTCGACTTGTTGGTATGTCGCCATTTTGCAGTTCGTCGATTAGATGTTCGTCATTTCGGCATGTCGACTTATTGCTATGTCGCCATTTTGCAATTCGTCATTTAGCAGTTCGCGATTCTGGCATGTCACACTATTCCATGTCGCCATTTTGCAGCTGGGCATTTTGTCGATTCGACTTTTTGGTATATCGACATTTAAACTGTCGTCTGTATGGAAGTCGTCATATATCAGTCGACAAGAAAGCATCCGGCAAACTAAGAGTCAACTTTCTGTCCGGACACCATGACACGAATATTTCACTTTCGTGTCTACATGGTTGGGTACTTCTCTGTTTCTTCCGCTTCAGATCAAAGCCGGCCTTCCCTTGAATTCTGCTTGTGGATTTGAGAACTCTTTGAACTACTGATAGTGATTTTCCTTTTATCTGATGTTATGGTACATGCTCTGTTTACTCGCAAAGTATTTTCATTTTTAAACGATCTTAACGATAAAAGCTGGTTCTCACAAGAAAGCTGATCATTCCTTAAATATATTGTAGGTACAGCAATTTCTTTCATGGCTTGCCGATCAAAATAAAAATGCGATTAGTAGGAAAACAAAACAAAAAATGCAAGAAAAAAATGAACTGGTTAATTACATCATTTCCCGTTATGAACTACAGTGGTTTGTATCGTTTCCAAAGCCGGGCGTGAAGATTTGTTCCACGAGCGTTTTTTCCTAAAATGACTGATGCAGTGATTGAGACCAGATATGCAAGGTGCACAATGGTTTTCATTTGTTACATGTTGAATGGTCACACCGATTTTTAGTCGTTACAGCGCCGCGTTTGCCGAATTTTG